ATCTGCGGAGCTGGAAGATGAGAACTGGCGACTTTGTAGTACAACTTCAGTACGCGGAGTATCTGCGGAGCTTGAAGATGAGAACTGGCGACTTTGTAGTACAACTTTAGTACGCGGACTATCTGCGAAGCTGGAAGATGAGAACTGGCGACTTTGTAGTACAACTTTAGTACGCGGAGCAATCTGTGGAGCTGGAAGCTGAGAACTGGCGACTTTGTAGTACAACTTTAGTACGCGGAGTATCTGGGGAGCTGGAAGATGAGAACTGGCAACTTTCTAGTACCACTTTAGTACAAGCCCCAAGCAGCATACATCCACCCACCCACTGATACACACTGACGAACAAGCGCATACACACAAACACACACACACACACCTCACGTACACACAGAGACCCTCACGCCTTATATCTGTTTCGCCTGTCTCTTCCCCATGCTCACTCTTCCGCACTTTACCCCTGCAGCCTCAATCTTTCGAAGTTGTTCACATGTGGGGTTATCCGGCCCTATAATTTCTTTTGGTTGCTGTATAAGGCTTTGGTGGTGACCAGTTGCAAAACAGCCTGAACTGTTCTTTGGGCAAGCTCAAGGTGGGAATGGCAGCTTGATGGACAATGTGGAAACATTGCCCATGGATCTTGACCTGAACGCTGCAGTTGAGCTTCCAAAGGTCGAGGATCCAGATTCCCAACCTCAGGACGGTCAGGGCATCGTGGAAGCGCGCACGCTTGAGTATGTCTGCAACCCCGAGGAGGCCAAACACTGCAAAGCCATAAAGTTTTTTTCAATTATACACCTTATAGTCGACACCAAGGGAATTCTCACAGTGGGAGGTGAATGCAACTATATACTTTCCCACAGGCATCACTTGTCCAGTATCAAGCGGGTGTGTGGGTTGTGTTCTGTTGGTGGAATTTGAATTGTTGAGGTCTGTTTTGTATACTTCTGATCGGGTATAGGTGCATGTGGTCATCACGAGTTCATTGACTGTAGGTGCTGACCCGCAGAGATCAGCTTGACATGAAGGATGCCATGAAGGCAGCAGAAGGTGAAGGCGAGGCAGGGGCACCTGCAGTTCAGAAACGCAAGAGGGGCCAACCAAAGACAAAAGCCTCGCCAAAGAAGAAGACCTCTCCGAAGAGGAAGGCTACCCCGAAGAAGAAGGCTACTCCAAAGAAGGGGTCCAAGGGTCGTGCCAGAACCAAAAAGCAGCCGACGCCGCCTCCAAATACTCCACCCCCACGTGAGAGGGATGAGGTGGATGACATGCCCGCTCCCAAGCGTCGGCTGAGGAGAATGAGGGTGAAGAACAGCAGGCTGATGGTGTTCCTACTGCTGCTGGGGGCTCTGCACGTCAGGCTCAGCAGGTGAAGGTGAAGTTGTCACCCTTGGCCAAGGGGCAGGCCAAAGCTCGTGCTAAGGCCAAGGGCAGGCCAAGGGGAAAGAAGGCTGCTCAGCCTGAGCTCGACGCAGAGCAAGAGGCTCAGCTGAAGGATGATGTCATCAAGGGTGTCATTCTGCAGGTCTTGAAGTCAGCTGAAGCTTTACCGCTTGATGACCTCAAGGAGCATTTGTATGGGAAGTCCACAGCCGGGAAGGGCAATTCCAGGCTCAACCCTTACTGGACGAAGAAATCGGGCGGTGTCAAATTGGCCTGCTATCCGGGAAGCCCTGAGATCGGCTACTTCGCCCCTGGAACGCTCGCATGACTGCAGCATTTATGTGATCGTGCCTGTTTGCCGATTGCCATGTTTCAGTATTTTTTGTTTGTTATAAGTTCACCCAATGACTGTCAACTCATCGGCATTCCACCGGTTTAAAGGCATAACTATACAGGTTCTATCCTAAAAAAGGGTGTGTGTGTATATATATGTCCTCTTGGTCCCCCAGGCCAACATATATTATATATATATAGTTATATAGTTTTCGGGGTCACCAATCCACCAATCCCCTGATACAGCAGGGTTTATTTATATGCATTTAAACACTGACCCCAATTGTATATATCCGACCCCTCAAAACTGCTCTAGTTCTGGAGGCCTCGTGGATGGATGGCCAGCCCTTGGATGTCCTGAAAGACTTTGAGAACCCGGAGTCTCTTGTGCAATGGGAGATTTCCAAGATTCGGTTCAATGCAATGGTCGCTCTGAAGGAATGGATTGGCAGGGTGAGTGTGTGAAGATGCTTTAGGATTTGCACCAGTTCCACCAATTTGTGGAAAGCGTAGCCCTCCTTTCTATATAAAACACAAGTGTTTTGGCTTTGCTTGCGCGTGCCTATAGTTATATAGAAACACTCCCAAACACAAACTGTTGTTGCTTATATAAAATGGAACTTTTGTGCAAAGTGGCTTCTGAGCATGACTTGCTCAAGTTTTTGTGTGGTGGGGATGGTTCTTATCCATTGCGGCCTGACCCGTCAATGGTGAAGCAAATCTGTCTGACTTGCATGGAGCCTTGTGGGGTGAACCTCACACCAATCCGAGATACGTGAGCGCAATGAAAGGAAAAATCGGGGCTGAAAAGCTTTGGAAGAATCGAGGCAACAAAAGTAAACAACTATATGTGTCCAACGTTTTCATCATCGACCGATCGAGGTACTAACATAAATAGTAACTTCTAGTGGCAACTTTCTGCATCTATCTATATATATATGGGTGGAGGCGGTGTAGGTGTCCTGTATACGATATATGTGCATTTAGACGGATCGATGAACCTCATTTACTGTGACTACATGTGCCCAGTGCCTCTCCGAGGCCCACGCGTGATCAAGAACCGTTGGGCCATCAAGAAAGGATGGGTCCAGCGGTCCAGTGGCCTGCCTTGTTTATTTATGCGATTGCTCATTGTATGCAATCAGCTTTTGGAATGCAGGGTCCCAAGCACGTATATATGCATGTGCATGTATGAACTTCCCAAAGGACTGGGTTGAGAGTCTGATGATAATGTAAGCTTAATATGCCGATATTATCAAGTGCATGCAGCATGCAGGTATTTTCTTTTCAGCTCGATCTTTTTACTGTAGGCTTATATATATATATATTCAGCAAGTTTGGTGGCTTTGATCGAAGTGGACATGAGCGTTATGTGAAACTTCGATATTGCAGTCGGACGTGTGCGATGCACCTGCCCTCGGCCCCGGCTATCCTTCCGAGCCACGGCGCGCAGAAATGAATCCCATTTGCTTCCTCAGATGCTCAAAGTAGGCACTGCCTATAAGTTGGAGTGAATGTGTCGATTAACGCCTACTATGCATGGATCAGAAGTCTTGTTGTGCACTCACACTGGTTGCATCAAGAATCTTAATCAAGGGTGAAGCTGTGCTCCAACTTGTTTTCTTGTTTGTTTGGGGTCTTACAACTCTCCGTGGAGTGTGGCACTCTTTACTCCAGCCATGGACCGTGGGAAAGAATATGTTGACCAGTTGGTGTGGCGGCTCATGAAAGTCTCGGCACCGAAGGCCTCAGGGTCTGAAGGTTTTTTTGGCCGCAGTTCAGAAATACATGTATAATGTGTGATTAGGAATATCTGCGTCCAATGGAGTATTTACACAACACGGCTTTCATATGACCATGTTTATGCCTCATATAATCTATGTGTATATATGGCAGCCATATATATATATGACATGGCGAGTTGCAGCCGCTCGCAGGTCATGGTCCTCCTTGTCCTCACGACCATATGGTCTATGGATAGCTTGCCAGAAGAGCTGAACCTTCAGGACCTTTGGTGCGAGGGTTTACCATTTATAGATTGGGCCCGGCATGCATGGCAGTCTTTTGGAACTCTCCCAGCTTGTCTGGTTGAACAGATCGATACAACAAAATCAATCTAGAGGTTTCCATGATCCAAACCGTATTTCACAAATGGTTTGGATGTATTTAGGACTTCAAGGGGTTTATTGCAGTCGCTCGGCCAACTATGGTTGTATTTATCATATGACTATTAATGAAGAATGCTATATATGCACAACCTTGTATAGGAGTGACCCTCAACCCATGAGTAGTGACTAGAAACAAATCTCGAGGGAACCCAAAGATGCCTAGAAACAGTGTGAACTACGGCAGGCGTTGGAGAGGCTACAGTGGTGCGAATTCTTTGCTGGCCAAGCAGAGGCAACAAAGGCCTTCAAGGCCAACCGATTCACAACAGCTGACCTCTTGTACATGAACGCAGCCCCTGGAAAACAAAACCCTATGGATATTTGTTCAGATGCAGGCTTTGTGACCCTTGATTTTGTTTTTGTTGGCAGGTCCTATATGATTTAAAAAAACATTGGGACCTTACTAACCTTACACTTGGATCCACACCAAACAATCCTAGCCCCAACCCAGGACTGCAATCGCCACAGTACTTATGGAGGATGACATCACTGGGCGGTTATGCCACTTTGGCCTCAAGTGTGCAAAATTTACAACCATCAATACCGGGACGAGTGGACGTTCAGCCTGCTCGGCCATTGGCAACCTTCATCACCGTAGTGTATTGGAAGGAAATCGGATGGCAAGTCGGAATCTTGGTCCCTAAACGGTGTGTGGGTTGAGTGGAGTCTATACATGACTATGGGATGTGAAGTACTTAGTGGAATATAACCTTGCACGTGTGTCGAAGCATGGATCAATTCGCAAGAAAAAACAACACAGTTTACTTTGAACACAATCACGCAAAAGGATGTCATTCAATTCGTGTGCAACCAATCTGTTTGCTCTTGAAGGGTGTTGGAATTGGGGGCCTGATTGTTCTAAGGGTTGTACTATTGATCCTCCTCGTTGTATGCTGCAACGGTACGTTCTTACTGGAACAGCCTGCGCAAAGCTTTCTTGAATACTACCCGCGCTTTCGTGACTTGCTAGAAGCTTTGGCATCGACTGGTGGTCGGCACTGTGTTCCTCGTCTTTTATATTAGCAAAGCGCCGTGAATATGTTATGTCAGGGTGGATGGTGTTGCGTGTATATAGTGGATATCGAGATCCAACAAACACTATAATGTTATTCCAACGTAGTCGGGTTGAACATCCACCCCAAGTCTGACCTTTACCTGCAACACCCATCTTTCATATGGTTTGTTACTGCCCAGGTGCACCGCATCGAGTGGTGGATGCGGCTGTATGGAGGTGATACCCCGAAGAGACATTGTTGCCTACTCCAACAGCCGAGCCATTCGCTCGATTGATCGTGGCCCTTTGCAAGGCTGGACACGACATGTCCAGGCTCAAGCGAAGGCGGGTGTGGATCGGGTCAAGACGGCGATCAAGTACCAAGACAAGTCAGGCAAATCCCGCTATAAAGGAGCTGGTGCTGCATTGAAAGCTACAGAGTGAGGAACTTATTTGTTAAACATGTGTCGGGGAAGATGTTTCTCGAAAAGGCCGAAAAAAGACTTCCAAACAACTTCTGTTCTGTCAGCACGTGTATATATGACAGCAGGTTGGGAGGTGAAACAAACAGCAACTATATATATAATTCATTGCAGAAGTTATATATGGTAAAGGGTGTTAAGGAATACCTCGTCTTCCCAAACAGTGTGTTCCCCATTCTGATCGAGGAATTATCCCAGGGAATTTGGGGACAAGCTGGTGGACATATACTCGGAAATGATTGCGCACAAGAGTGGAATGCCAGTCCTCCCTGAGACCCTTCCAACGGCAGAGCAAACTTTTGAACAAATGGTGTTCGATGATTTGTGGGCTGATGCTCACCTTCAGTCTGTTGTCCAGTGGCTGCGTGGGAGCCAGGGACTCAGAATCCCTGAAAGCTTCCGAGCGCTTTTGCCGCCAAGACTCTAGAAGCTTGTTCCAAGTGATAGCTGGTACATGTGGTGCATATAAGAACCAACCTTGGTTGTCAGGGAAACCTTTTGAGATCCTGTAGGACTTCTATCCAACTATGTTCAATGTTGTTCACTTCAAACCCGTATTTACACGTACTTAGCAAATACCAGGTAAAAACAATACATTACCAGGATATTTGTCGGGTCAACCCGTAAAAAAATATGGGATGAAACGACCCCGTACTAATACCGTATTTTACCCATAAAATTCCGTACTCCACCCATAAAAACTTATGGGTGGAAATGGAAATAACCAGGTTTTTTTAAAGCTCATATATAGGTGTTTTTGTTGCTCCCCAAAGAGTTTTTTGTTGAACTGGCAGGGACGAGCTTCAACTAGTTCAATCTAATTCGACTACTAATTCGACTCTGTTGCTATAGCAACATGGACATATAGAACACCAGATCAGGTCTCCACAGTGGCTCTGGACAAATTCTAGGACATGCATCGAGAATTTGTGTTTTCCTTGGCAACATGTTCAGCAAACCATACTTTGTATAGCTTATACCTACTTTGCGGAGCATTTGGCTTAGAGCTTTCAATCAGGGACTCGGATTCATCTCATTTTGTAGAACCTGTCATGGCTTTTATGAAAGCTGACTCTTTTGCAACCTTGAAGTCCAGGGCTTGGAGCACATCCGAGCTGGCCGAGGGACTTGGCCACATCCTCACAGACGGTCGGCTTGAAGAGGTCGATGATGTTGCCCCATTCCAGGAGACCACAAGTTCAATCTTCCTCAACTGAATAACTGTTGTGCTTTTTGACCACAAAGTTCAATACCATAACTGTGCAGTTCCACACACGGGTTTTGTCTGCACAAGATTCATCAAAGATCATCAAAGTGTGTGTAGTTTGTTTCGAGTTGGTAATGATTTCAGGAGCTGGAGGGGATCCTAGCTGATTTGGAGGCCAAGCAATCTACGGTGCAGGGCTGAATCCGCATACTGTTGCACGCTACTTGTGCATGGGGTCTCTAAAAACATAATTTGCCTCAATATGAACTGCACACTCTACCTTTAGGACGCGGCTATGCAAGAGTTGATGGCAGAGCCTGCACAAGCATCTAGGCTTCACAGGGTAGTTTGAAGGGATACTATACTATATAAGGAACATACCAAAAATCTTTCGACATATCGGTCAGCATCCTCGAATCTGTAAATTGGTTTTGCATATGCACTGTCCCCAGCCTGTCTTTCAATGACATTTGCCTCTAATTTTTGTCTACCAGCTCCCTGAAGATAAGGCAGCTCCACCGGGGGAACACTGAGGAGACAATGCCAGCGACCGAATCGCAGGTTGAGAGGTCACTGTCTGGGAGTGTTTCAGGCCAGGGCAGGACTCAAGGTGAACGCGTCGCTTCTCCGGAACCTTCGCAAGCATCGTTCTCTTTGCCTTCGCGCTCTTCTGCTACTACAGTGAACAATGGCAAGGCCGATTCCGACTATAAATAATGTATATATACTATAATGGGTTGGAAATCCTTAGCCCCAAAAAGGACAAACTAATCTGGATCCATGCACCTGCATGTATATTTTTTGCACCTGCTACTGGGCCTGTGGTGGAGTTCTGAATTGGTAAGGCCATGCGTATATACACTAGAGCGATCGACCTCTACAGCGGCAGGTGCAGCTGGTGGTGAGCATGTTCAAGGAGGGCCGACTTGATGCCACCACGGCTATGGAACTCATGGCTGGGAGTTTGGAGGATATGGCTACTCCCATGAGTAGTGATGATAAGGCTGATGACCTGTCAGAGAATCGTAAGAGGCCTCACCCAGAGGAAGAAGTCTTAGAGGAGCATGCAACAACTGGTGAAGGCGACCATGTGGACACTTGTCTCATATAATATACTGCATGACTACCAATTATATATATACAATCACTGTTTCTGACCTTCAAAGTCAAGTTCTCCCGTTGGGATCTGCAGGGTTGTCACCCATTTCATTTACCGGGTGTATGCTCGATCACTTTGCACCAACATTGAGGACAAGAAGGAGGCCAACCGGTTGAAGGCCAAGCTACGCCGCATGTGCGAAGAGAAGGCCAACGGCCGCCTGCAGGTACCTGAGTGGCTCCACCAGCAGTGGAAGACACGTGACCATCTTGAAATGGCTTTGGAGCTCAAGCGTTGTGGATTTGATAAGGTGCTGGCATTCACACCAAGAAGTTGTTGAACGTTGGAGTGAACCATGGATCCCTGGATGTGTATTATAGTTGTTTCTCCCAAGTTCTGTGCAGGGCAAGTTTGCGAAGTCTTGCGCCAAAGTGGTCACCACCAAGGAGTCGGAGAAAACTAACGTCTCGCAAGGTTGGTATACAAAGGAGGACATGAACACCATTTTGCGATGGCCAGCGAGCCTCATTTGGAACCATGTATTCCTGGTGTTTGGCAAGCATGTTTTTATGAAATGACCCCCTAATGAGTTCGATCTGAGTAGTCTCCATGGCATGATCCTTTAAGGAAGAAGATTGAAGGTGCTGTGTGCCTCTGTGAGCAGGACAGGGCCAATTTGGTAAGGCGGGTTCAAGGGCCCCGACAAGCCCCAAGTGGAAACCTGCGGGTACCATCAAAAATAGCCTCTCCAAATCTCTCCAACATGTATACATGCAAGTTCTATACAAGTACGTTTTACTATAGCGCTGCATCATGTTAAGGGTGGCTCTTTCCCCTTGTTGTACCTTCCTTGTGTTTGCACTGTCATGCACAGGAACAACTGCCGCTTTATACATGCATGAACAACTGTGTATAGCTACTGTTTTGTTTAAGGCTTCACGTCTGTATATGTAAAATGACTTCCACCTCGTGCTCTTTGGTCCCTGCCTGCCATATATATTTGCGCCACGCCGACACCCCGTACACGTTTTCCTCTTCTGTTGTCTTGCCAAAATGCGGCTCTGCTTGCAGGTGCTGTAAATATGGAGGTGACGATGAGTATTGGGTGGATATCCGTGAGACCGGAGAGAAGGGCCAGGAAAAGTCCAAGACCAAAGAACGCAGGGAAGAGTGTGAGGACTGCGTGGGTTGTGTGGACTGTTTTTTTCCATCCCAGTTCGCACTGCAGCCACCCACCCTCATTCTTGAATCTTGGACCCATCCTGTGCCAAGAGGCGTCATCATATATGCAGTTGTCGTCTCCAAATGTTGCAGGATGCTGATGATGACGAGCCCATTGGTGAGGTCAACACTGATCGCCTCAAAGCCATGGCTGCACGTGAGCAAGCAATGGCGAGTTCGGGTTCAGTTCAATCTTCGGAGGTGCTCAGTTGAGCATTTGTGAATTTGCGCACACCTGCAAGACATTAACGATAATATAGCTTTGGATCAAATGCAACACTTTTGTTTTATGCATGTGTTAATTGTTTGTATTGTTTGGACCTGGAGGCCATGCGTCGGAAGAACACGTACACCAAGTTTTGCGACTCCCTTCTTCAAAAGTCTGCCAAAGTACGTTCTTTGGTGACAGACTTGAAGAAGAACTATGAATCGGATCCCTGCGTTGATAAGCCAAAGTCTCAGAGTGTGCAAACCAAGGATCGGGTAATGCCAGCATCTTGATCTTGCCAGTTTTGCAATGCGCCTTGAGGTCGATCAAGGCCTTGGAGCACGATCTGGACACCCTGGAGGACAACTACAACAAGTGTAGTGAAGAACTCGCTACAGGAGAATCAGTTGGTTACACTGAAATGTGCCTAGCCTGATTTGTTCTTTGGAGATGTTCATTCATGGAACGGATCGAGTTCAGGAACGATCTATAATTTAGCGCCCACAAAAAAACATTCTTATAGACGTCGATATATTGTCAGAGAACCTGGTCGTTGCACTCACTGCAAGGTGGGTGACCAAGTTCGAGAAAACCATGAAGGAAACAACCTTTGCGTGCCTTGGCTTCTGCGATTAAATGCACCGAAGTGCAGATCACAACTTGGGTTCACATATGTTCACATATATGCATGCACTTTGAATTTCAACTTTGAATCCCCGTATGGATCTCGAGTTCGTTTCTGTCAGTTGCCCCCAGGTGCACGAAGGTGGTGCAGAACGAGGCCAAGATTCGGTGGAGCCCTCATTGATCTTTGAAACGATGGGCAGTGTGGACCGCTATTCACCTAGGATGTTCGTACACACGCAGTCACCGCAAACGATCGTGCCACGTATACCACTTGAGGAACGCAAAGCGTCACTTCCGGAAAGTGCCCAAAAAGGAGGAGTCGTGAAGACTTGGGTTCACTCATGTCTCTGCGCCGTGACGGTTGTGTTTTTCTTCATTTGGCACAGCCATCGGAAGGTAATTCGGAGAGGGTCCAAGTTGTGGGGTCCGATCGATGTCCAGTTCCAGGGTAGATATATAAGCCACACATTTCGATCTGCCGGGAACTTAACACATGCAGGAAAGCGTGATGAGAAAGTTTTGTTCAGAAAACCAGCAAAATCAATCCACATGGTCTTCGTTCACTATACATGTGCAAGGGTTACTGTCTTCAGTTCTGTATCCTGTTATTGATATATTTCCAAAGATTGTGTTGATTGTTTCGGTATACGTTAAGCTGCTGTGTGGGACAAATACTATAGTATGCAATTTGGGTTTGAGATGGAGCTGCTGCCGGTACATGGCAGCCAAGCTCAACAAAGAAAGACACGTGCAGGGGTGAAGCAAAAGATCTCTTCGGAATGTTTTGCGAACACATGGACGCTACTTTTATTCATGCACACTGAACAGAAACAACTCCATCTTCAACTACCATGTTCGAGCCAGGTCCTGGCCCAACAGCCAAAATTTTTGCTAAGAACCTGGGCGAAGGGGCCTGGTCCTCAGCCCTTGCAGAACAAGGAGCTTGCGGTTCTTTGAAGTGCAATCACCCACGAGCGGCCATCGCCCGTTGCACATCAGGAGTTGTATACGCATGTGTGGATCCTATACACGCTGTGACCGTTCCATCTTGACATTCTATAGGTTTCCTGTCCCACCAAACTATTGAAATTTCAAAAACTCAAAGAAAAGGAGTCAACAACTAATATTATCTTCTCAAACATAGTGCCCCCTGAACACAGATCTGAAGAAAGTGCCATGGAAACCTCCGACGACGAGCTTCTTGACTTGCTGACGTGTCATCGCTCAGTCCTTCAGCGCAAATAACTTGTATATGTTTGTGCGTGTCAAGCTGTTGTTGCTTGTCTGAAGCTGGCTTGAAGCTGGCTTCCACGTTGTATACGCCGCTTTCGATTCATACACCTCGCAGTATATATGCATGAGGCATCTTTGGTACCCTACGCATGGGAGTCCACCACCAGAGCTCCAAAGGATGCGTCTGACTCCCCTGAAGAAGTGCAACAGCCAACACAAAGGACTGGGGCATACGGCAAGTCATTGTTTTCGATTCTGATGTCACTCATGTCTGATGGGAGTCAAAAACAGCCTATATGAAGCTTCCATGCAGGACCTCGCTTGTGATGGTCTACATGCAGCATGAGGACTTCAAACATCTTGCCCGTACCCGTTCTGTGTTCGACAAGGTTGAGGCTGATCCTTTCTTAGGGTTTTCTCTGTCAAAGCCTAATTCAACTGCTGGCAAGGTGCTGGCTCACTCAGCTAGCGTGTTCAAGGCCTGTTACAGTAGGTTCTCACCGATGACCTTCAAGTTTGGGATTACTCATGACCCGTGTTGCAGATTTCACAATGAGCTCTGGGGATACAAGCATTCTTTTGAAACCTTTGAACGTATGGTGGTCGTCTACGTGGCAGCCAACCCACATGGACCTGCTTTCTTGGAGGCTGCTTTGATTGATCGCTACAACAGTTCCATGGCTCGCCATGAAACAATTAACTTGCAGGTTCACTGTTTCCTATCGCGTGTCTACCAAACAAACTTTTGCACTTTCTCATCATTGCCATCCAAGGTTGGAGTGGATGCAAGAATATCAAGTCCGGAGGTGACGCCTACAACAAGGATCTTTTTGGTGAAGGGCCATATTTTACCTACCTTGTGTATAGATCTTTTAACATCCGCCTCCAATCCCGCCTCGAAAGTGATGGTGGATTGCCTTTGTGACACTGTCCCATAGGCTACTTTTTGCGGTGTTTGGACGATTGGCGCAGTTGTTGATTACCAACTGTGCTGTGCGGGTTTCCTGCCATGAATTTGTAGACACATTTCATTGCAAGGTGCTATACGAGGAAAAAATAACTTACTTGATCGATGGGCCTGTCAAGGTGTTTTTTTGGCAATATGCCATGCAAATGAACATTGGCACATGCGCACCCTCGAGTGT